GCTGACCAACTAATAGCCCTGATGTCATTTGCTTTTTTTGGATTTCTTATCACGTGTTAATCTTATTTTCATCTGAAAGTTACTAAATCATTTTGCATTTGTTAATGAAGGCCTGCTAAGAGTGTGAAAAAGATGATGACTAATCTGAACAAGAGGGCGGGATATACTGTTTTTGGATAATTCAGTCTTATAAAAGGGCCGATAACCAAAGCAATGAGGAATTTTGTCACACCACAAATTTTAGCTGAAACAGTATTAGTGACACTGAAATAGAAGTTTGTTAGTTACTAAGGAAGTTACTGCATTGTGAGGTCAAAATTATGTTGCATGTGTATTTGCTTGCAACAGATATGTGGCTTCAGACACTGTATGTGAAATTAGTTTCAAACATTTGGGTTTGTGTTGGGTGTGTTTATGAGAAAGACATGTGGTGCAAGGAGCCTTATGCATGATCAAATAAAATAGGTGTAAACATGAGCATGCATGTGCGTGTGTGCTGTTTACCAGGAAGATGAAGTCAGGTCTCCTGCTGTTGACGGAGACGGGCGATCGGCTGAGCGAGGTGGATGTGTCGTCAGAGGTCTGCGAGGACGGGTGCCGGAAAGTCTGACCAGTCAGCTTGGTGTCGTACAGCTGCTCCTCAAAATCTGCACACACAAACACATGCATATAAAAACCCATGTTAGCATCAACTTTTCTGCAGTGCAAAAAATACACACATGCACCACAGAATAAAAGTGCACTGTCCTGCACAAAGACACAAACTAAACCCACAAACCAGCTATCCTACTGTATTTGCATGGCCAAGAGCAGAGGTCTGGTACGACTGCTGCTTTGCATCACTCTGCAGTTTCCCTCCTGTGTCCCTCCTGTGTCCCCTAGTGCAGCTTCTGCTCTGGAACCTTAAAGGACTCCTTAAGTTTCCTTTTAATCTTCTTGTGAACTCCAGTGCTTTCTCTCCTTTTATTCGTTCCCTCTCTTTAACTCACTCCTCTCTTCTTTCCTTTCTGGCTTTTCCTTCTGCTCATGTTGGACTTTCTCAGTTTCAGTCTTCCTCTTGATATATAACTTCTTCTGCCTCTCTGGCAGCTTAGTCGGTCTCCCTCAGGCCATTGTAAACAAATTCCTAACCCCCACCTCCCCCTTTTTTATCCCACTGCGCACGCACACAGACACAAACCACAGTCCCCATCACAACCCCTCAGCCAATCCCTTACCCCAAAACACACTCTCTACCCACTCCCCACTCTCCACTCATCCCTAAAGCCCTGTAACACACACAAATACACACGCACTCCCAGCACCATCGCACTGACAGCTTCAGTGAAACACCAGTGTCAGTGAGGTACAGAGTTTTGCATTGAACTTGCTCTCCTGGACAATATGGATTCCTCGCTGGAGATGTATGGTTGCCTAGCGACACAAGGGGGCAGATGGCAACAGAGCATGTCCGCACTGCCTCACCCGCCACAGAGGGTTAAATGGTAACCTGTTGATATTAAGGATATAACTGGGTGGCATCACAACATTTGCACGTAAATAAATAAGTAGATAAAAATATTTTTTTTAAAGTTATAACCATCACTACCAGTTATCCGAGTGACTAGGATGGTTTTGATGGTAAATCTGCTGTAATGTTTTACAACACAAAACAGGAAGGGGCAGTGTTAAAGACCTGCAACATCTTTACTTTCACAATCTTTATTCACATCTTTATAGATGTATCACTTGACTCTGCAGTTCACCTTAGTTGTGTGCAGCTTTATAGCATCTCTCAGCTCGTTGCTTAGGTTTTATGGCTCGCAGCTTTACTGGTCTGGTTCACTCTCACTGGTCTCATCAGCGTTTTCAGACATAGCAAACAGCTCTGTTCAAAGAAAAAGCTCTGACAAACTCACTACAGTTTAAACACTGATGATGTTAGCAACTGACTGGTGAACAAAGTGGAGCATTCAGGCACTAACGAACCAAATATTTCCCTCAGGAGCTAGTGGCGAGTAGAACACAGCTAGAAAGATAGTGAATGTTGGTCTTACACTCACTAGGTTTCCAGAAACATGACTCCCAGTTGCTAAGGCTGCTATGTATTGGCAGCTATATGCCATAACAAATGTCTGTTATTTCTGTATCTAGTTAAACAAGGCCTGCTTAATTAACTTGCCTTTGTTTAGTGACTACTGGACTTTCTGCAGTATCAGTATAGTACTACTAGAGCCTAAAGGGTGATGGCATCTGTTTTTAAGCTGTAATAGCCTTGAGGCTCTGCTGCACAAGCTTGGTAAACACATTCAAACATGTAGGTAGTTTACAAAAAGTTTGGCACGTGTCAGATTTCAGTGAGCACAGGCAAGGTGGGGGTGTTTTGGAGCCGTGAATGGAAATTAATCCACAGCAGCAAGACCACAAAATACAAGATAACTATGTGTTTATATATGAGGGTAGACAGTCCACCCACCCACAGACTTTGTGCAGTTCTTAATGGCATTTGGAATCATAGCTGTTGACATTTTTCCTCTGACAAACTAAAAAGTGCCAGCAGCAAGAAAATGTCTTAAGGACCTCACTTTTTCTGAGCACAATTATGCCTTTAAACATCTCAGAAAACATACAACAACTTTTGCACACACCAAAACCTCCGGCGTGGATTAAGATGACGTGCTATGTCAGCTGCCATTTTCAGCACAGCCACTGTGCACTTTGGAAGTTATTCAGCTGTTTAAAAGAGTTTTATAAATTTGAGGATGGCAGCCATTGTTTCACTGAGAAGCGCAATCCTTCAACTAAAATGAAACCAAGACAATGAAAAGGTGGAGTAACAAGGTTTTCACAAGATGAGGATTACACATTGTGGGTTGTTGTGTCCCAAGGTTGACACTGAAAACAAGCAAGCAACATTTATTTATATACAGTAGCACCTTTCTAAACTGAAGTTACACTGTGTTTCACAATAAAACCAAACAGCACTGTAATATAAGACAAACAAAATAAAAATAGACAAAAACCATAACACATATTAAAAAGGGGGTTAGAAGATCTAAGAGATCTACCTGGGGTGTATGAGTGCAAGAGTTTTCAATATATGAAGGAGCCAATGAGTGGACAGCCTTAAAAACAATCCTAAAACAAACTGGAAGCCAACGTAGAGATGCCAAAACAGGGGTAATGTGATCATGTTTCCTAGTATTAGTTAAAAGACGTGCAGCTGCATTTTGAACCATTTGGAGACAAGACGAGGATGCCCATGTGATCCCAAAGCACAGTGCCTTGTAGTAATCCAACCTCCGGCTAATAAAGGCATGAATAGCCTTTTCAAAATCCTGGAAAGAAAGAAAATGTTTAATCTTGGATAACCGTCTGAGCTGAAAAATGTTAATCTTAACAGCTGAGTTTATCTGTAAATCCATCTTGACACAGAATTTTGTTCTCATCTACTTTATGTGGGAAGTACAAATAGTAAGTGGGGGAAAAATGAGCCAATCAATACTCTACAGGATGTGCATCAAACTCTCTCTTTGAAAGCAAACTCTTCTGTTGTCACTTTAAGTCGGCACTTACTGCAAATATTAATGATAACATAAGACTTGTTTGTTCACTGTATTTGCCAGTTCCTCAGAGAACTGCTAGATATTTCACTTTGTAAGAAGACATCCCTGGCTTTTTCTATTCATAGCCATATGAAGCACCAGTTGCTTGTGATAGAGAACTCTCTCTTTTTTAGTGTTAAAAAAAACTGATGAAAAGCAAACTCCCTGACTGCTGCATGCAAAAACAACGGGACCAACCAGATAGTAAACAGTGAGCAGAAGCCAAAACTCGCCTCATCCAGACTGTAGCGGCCCAAAGAAGGGAGGCATTAGCAAGAGTCTGGAGATACTAGAGAAAAACAAACTGATAAAGAGGAAGTAAAAGAGTAAGATGATGAAGATGCAAAAGGGGAAAGGGAAACAGAAGAAAACAAGGCACAGGTTGGTGAGGAAGAGCCAAAGGAGGAAGTGGGGGGGAATGAAGTTAAAACAAGCCTGAGGAAACATATCAAGAAGCAAAAGAGGTAAAGAAGAAGATGGAACAGGAACAAACATGATGAAAAGTAAGCAAATGAACCAAGGGGGGAAAAAACACAGAAATCAAGAAACTAAACTGGATAAAGTGCAGAGAATTGAGAAAATGAATAGGCAGAGCAATAAGAAGAAGGAGGGAGGGACACATTATGAAGAAGCAGCAAAACATTAGGAAAAGGTGGAGGAAGACAGTGCGTGTCAAATAAAGATGAGCATAAGGAGAGGACGGGCAGCAGAAGATATGAAGAAGAGAGAGGAAGTAGTGCAGGGTAAAGACGGGGCAGTTGAAGGTAGAAAAGTTTGAGAAAAGGGATTGAAGTTGGAGAAAAGAAGAGGATGGAAAAAGAGGAGGAAGAGAACTGAAAGGTGGGTGACCCAACATGTTTGAATAATTTCATATGCAAAAGTGTTGAAGCCAACAGGAGGTTTTATATGAGGTAGTCAGGGCCTCTGAGCCCTACCTATACAATCAGAAATATTGTATTATAGGAAGATTACAGGAATATTATACAGGCTTAAACTTATAAACTGTAATCTTGGTTTTATTTTTATGATTGGTCAAAGGTAACTTTATTATCCCCAAAGACACACTAATGGTTATAATGGTAGAGGAAACAAAGCGACGTCTACTATGGTGTACTTTGCAAATTTAAAAAAAGGACTTTACTAGTGGTTAGATGGTTTTAGACATCAGTAATAAGCCATTACAGTATCTAGGAAACCCTTTGGGATGTAGCATCTAGTTAAATCCCAGAGCCTGGCAGTGATTAGCTTAGCATAAAGACTGAAAACAGGGGAAACAGCTGGTCTGGCTCTAGCTGATGCTTAAAAAAAACCTGGCAAGTCCAAAGTTGTTTTGATATATCCATTTATTGAGCATTAATATAGACATTACAACTGATAAACTTCTTAAGCTTTAAATGATTAGAAAGCAACAAAGTTGATTCAAGTTCAGTTGATTAAAAGTAACTCAGTACTCAAGTACCGTATGTTCTACATGCTCTTTACTTGAACTTTTCATTTTATATACTTTATACTTCTACTTTCTTACACTTCAGGGCCAAATACTGTACATTTTACATTTTATTTGACAGCTGTAGTAACAAGTTACTTTGCAGATCAATATTTTATCCCCAAATCATTCAGCTTATAAATGATGTTGTTATAAAATAAACTATTACCAAAAACATACAAAACCTGGAAAATTAGCTCCCTCTTTAGGAAAAACTACAAAAATCAGTTTTCACAGTAATACTTTTGTCCAATTATATTATATGTAAGTTGCCTAAGTTGTTCTCCTACTAAAACTTTAGCTTTTGATACTTTTACTTATTAATGAGGTAGTTTACATGCAGAAAATTTTACTTACGCAATTTTCCCAAGTTACTTTTGTCATCTCCCTCAGCTGCCTTCAGTGACACTTTGGTAGCAATTAAAAACCACTTAGATACAAAATTTGGAACCAGCCACTAGAGTCTGCACACTGACCGATAGAATCTGAGTCCAGCAAGCAGCAGCATTAAAGCAGAAAGAGAGCGGAGGCAAACAGTTGTAGATCCATGCTTCAGATAACAGCCAGGCTTCACTGA